CCAGTTACATACACGGGTTCATATTTAAATCCCGTGCCTTCGGCACGGAATATGAACCCGTGTGTAACTGGGTTATTTACCACATACCCATACAATAACTATAAAATATTGTGTTTGCATACCGTTAATTTCTTATGTATTAATATTTGTATATTTTATATATACTTTACAAGTTTCAAAATCGTGCGCAATCGGAGAGTAAAAGCGTTTATGGGTTAACGCATAACACAATTACAAATGAATATATGTTAGTGTTTAACGATTTTGATAAATTTAGTTCTGAAAGAAATTGTGAATATGGAACATGTGCAAATTGCAAGCGATATAACACATCTGAAGCTTGGTGCCAAACATGTGACCCACAGAAAACAACACAAGGATGGACAAGTGGAAATATGAATATCGATGATTGCATTAAGGAATTTCAGCTTAAAGTTACGAAATACAATGACGTAATAGAATGGATTCCTTTTAATAGATTAAAGAATATCCAAAATATTGCTGATAAAGTTTTAGCAACCTGGTTAGATGGAATACGATATGCAAAATATGTAGATGGTAAAGATAAATATACACAGTCACGTATAGAATCATATAAAGTGGAACTTAAAATATTAACTAGATCACAAAGTTTATCAGATATGTTACAGGAAGTAAGTAAGAATATTTTTATTAATTTATCGTTGGGGCCCGTATTATTTCACCGACCATTTAAACGACTTCACGTTATTTGACAATTTACAATTTATATATGTTAAACCTGTTAACTTGCTAAATTGTCACCAATGTGATGTTGGTTAAATGGCCTGTCGTGAAATGACCGTCGGTGAAGTTATATAGGTTTATCTTAATGTATTGTATATTTTACATGCTTAATAAGTTTGTAGGTTATGTACAGTTAACGAATGATGAACTTAAAGTATTTGGACTAACTCAAAACATCGCAACGTATGAGTATATGTTGGTATTTGATGAATTTGGTTCTAAAAGGCATGATTATTATGGATTATGTGCGAATTGCAACCGAAATAACACATCTGAAGCTTGGTGTCAAACATGTGACCCTCAGAAGACAACGCAAGGGTGGACAAGTGGAAATATGAATATCGACGATTACATTAAAGAATTTCAACTTAAAGCCACGGAATACGAAAATGTAATCGAATGGATTCCTTTTAATAGATTAGTTAATGTTCAATTAATTGGTAAAGGGGGATTTGGCTCTGTATTTTCCGCAACATGGTTAGATGGTAAAAGAATAATTTCAGGTACTACTTGTAACTATAGACAATCACGTACACCATCATATGTAGTTGCACTTAAAACTTTACCTTGCTTACGAAAGAATTTTTTAAGAGAAGTATGTTAAAATGATTTATTTATGATCTAATATAGATAAATTATAGATTAACATTATAAATTTGATTTTATTTAATAAGTTTAAAAATTACACGGAATTTAGATTAGTGGGTAATAATCTTGAAGTGTATGGACTAACACAAGACACAACTAATAATGAATATTTGTTGGTATTTCAATATGCCAATAGAGGCAGTCTTCGTAATTTCCTATCTTTAAATTTTAGAAATCTTAATTGGAAAAATAAATTAAGCCAGCTTGTTGATATATCTAAAAATTTAATAATAGTACACAAAGCAGAATATGTCCATGGAGACCTTCATAGCGGTAATATATTGCAAAATCAATATATTAATGGAGATCTAATATCTTATATTGCAGATCTAGGATTATCTAGAAAGAAAGATGATTCAGAATTAGAAGATGATATTTACGGCGTTTTACCTTATGTTGCGCCAGAAGTATTACATAAACTACCATATACAAAAGCTGCAGACATTTATAGTTTTGGTATTATTATGACCGAGATGTCTACGGGAAGACCTCCTCATTATGATGTTGATTATGATGAAACGTTAGCTATAAAAATATGTGATGGATTACGTCCAGAATTTGCTAAAGACACACCTGAGTGCTATACTCAATTAGCAAATCAATGTATGGATGCCAATCCTCTTAATAGACCAACTGCATCTGTTATCCATAATAAATTATCAGGATGGTATAATATAGTAAATAATAATGCTGCAGAGAATAATAATGAATTAGTAATATTAAAAGCATTCCAGTCTGCAGATGCAATTATCCCAACATTATCAACTGAATTGCCAATTTGCCCTAAAGATAAACTTACAAGTAAACTGCTTAACTTTAAAAACCTTTCTAAGCCAATTAATTCTTCATTTATTTCACCGCCAAAATTGTTAAAGAATTGTGGTAAATAATTCACTCTTATTATCATATGTATTTCAATTTTAATCGGTAAAAGTTTACTTTTAATTTTTTTAGATTCTACCTGTCTCGATTTTTCAATTTCTGATGGTGAGAAAAACTTTATATTTAGACTTCATGCGTTTCCTGTTTTGTAACTTGAATAATTTATAGTTTACAACTAAAATTACATTTGTTAATTTAATCAGATGATTTAGAAATTATTCCAAGTAATAAACAACAAAATGATGAATATATAATTTCAAACGAAGCAATTTTAAATAAAAATGAATATTCTAGGGAAAAACAACAAAATTTCTTAAAGGGTCCACCGATTAACTTAGTTGAAACAGGTACTGCCATAGACAATGTCCAATTCTTTAAACCTATCGTTAGGAGTAAACCTATCGTTAGGAGTAACATTGATCTCACTGCTGTTACGGAGCTTATTTCAATCAATTCAAATTTCTTTCCCGGAACGTCCGCTACTGCACACGATGAAGTCGATCGACTGCTTTCATTGCTTGAAGAGCAAAAAGATAAAATCGATAGCATATTAGAATCACTGCATGTATACGCAGTAGGTGTTGATTTTCAAAAAGATTATTCTATGCCGTGCATTGCTTGCTGGGTCTCCGAGCGCCTCGATATTGCCATAAAGGAACGATTATCAGACTTGTTCCAAAGTGAGTTTGAAGTTATAGAAAAAATGGTGGCACTGACAGACGCAGACGTGGATAATAATAGTGCACAAAACAAATTACTTAACCGTAATGGTGTCACAAAGAGGTCTAAGAACAATGGGTCAACTGGTTCGTCTCATTCAGAAAATGAGAAGGAATCTGATGGGAATGAAGGCGAGAATAACTGTAATGAAAACGATGAAAACGGTAGCGGAGATGGTGGAGAAGAAAATAATGAGAATAATAGCAATGGTGGTAAAGAAAATCATGAGAATAATATCAATTATGATGGTGGTAATGGTGGTGATGGTGGTAATGGTGATGGTGGTGGTGATGGTGGTGGGAATGGAAGCATAACTGATAACTCTGAAAATATTATAGTTACATCAACATGCCGAGCTGTTACATTAAATAAGGAAAACGCAGAGATTTTTCAAGAGTTTGTCATCGTAGTTTCTATCTGTGCAAATGTTACCCCCGTTGCCAATAAAAAATATTCGAAAGTTTTAAAATTTTCTGTTGATATAAAAGAATGTACAATGGGGTCTATGCTTAGTGAAAATTCATCGCTTCACAAGATTGGTTTTGGCTATTTTCTCGATTCCGTTGTGATTAAAGTTTCACCAGTTCCACGTCAAAATCATAGCACATCACGCACGATAGCAAGGAAGGTTGTTACATGGCCACAGGAACCCAGACAGACCATTAAGGTTTCAACAATTCGCGAAACAAGCAGAGGAATCAATGGACAAGTCAGTGGAACAGGAATCCAGGTGACAGGTAATTATAATACAAGGAATGCACTTAATACAGAAAAAATGTCAGATGAGTGGAAGATGAAGCTCGACGGATGTTTGACAACCGGATCTCGCTGGTCATATTCTCGTGAAGATGGCAGCTATACAAGTAACTTTATTTCAGGTAATCACACTGGTGAATGGCACATTCTAAATTTGATGTGTGGGTTTACTATAGAAATTACACAAGTAGTAGGTTTCGAATTCACTAATAAAAATTTTTTTAATTTGGGTTTGAAACCTAAGTTGATAAAGCCATGCCCTAAGATGGCTCATATATTGAAAATATCCTTTGATGATTTTGATAATTTTGAAAGATATTATGCAAAACTTGATAAAGAACACTATGAACAAAAAGATCTTATTTATATTTTAAAAAATAAAGCCCCTCCTAAAGAAAAAGACACACAAAAACAAGGAGGCATAACCGATTTTACGGTTACCCGTACATGGGAGGAACCCGAACAGTCTTAATTTTTGTATGGAGACCACCAGTGACATTGTTTTCTTTTGTCTCGTTTATTGTTGTCAATACGAGTTGCCTTTGTCACATGATCTCATTTCTTGTGATTAAAAGTTCGAACACTTAAAACTTCAAATGCTATTGTTCTCTTAGCTTAATATTTAATTAAATAACAAGTTAGTTTTTAACGACATAAGAATCATACTTGTGATTCAATTTAAAGCAAAATAGAGTTTAAAAAAATTAGAGATATTTTTCTTGGTATTTTCTTTATTATCATCAGTCATAGACATTTACTAATGTACTTTCTGATCAAACGGCGGGATGTTCATATTACTATATATCATAGTGCAACACAATTTCGATATCGGAATTTTTACCATACTTACCCAGGCTAAAGTGAAAAAATAAAATTAAATAGAAATATCATGAACGGATAGTTTATTTTAAACACAAATTGATAGAAAAAATAAATTAATAGTATTATTATAAACCTGTATAGCTTATTTTAAACACGTTTATCAATAATTTTCCTATATTAATATAAAAAATAAAAATAAAAATAATAATAATAGAAACAGTCAGCTCTAGATATAACGATGCACCAGTTGATTGAATAGGTATTTAATAAACCAATTTTTTTTTAACAGGATCAAAGTAAAGAAATTATGTAGTATATAATTTTAGAAGAGATGAAAATCTTATTGGATGATGTGATCGATTATCTTTTGTTTGGCATGATAACATCGTGTAGTTATTTATTAGATTTATAATTTTAACTATATAGTTTATTTTTCTATACATGTATATATAGCGTAATTATTGTGTGTATATGCGTATCAACTATTAATCGTGCATGGTTGGATCATACAACTTTTTGAAACATGAGCATCATCATAAAGGCGAATTGCAGTCAAATTTTCTTGAAATTCTCGGAAGAACTTTTCATCCGTTATTTTATAAACTGATAGAAGTTGGAGTAGCTCTTGCCATTGCAATTGCTGTCGTACGTATCTGTCAGCTTGTTTCAAATTTCATACTATTTTTTAAAGAATGCAGTTTAACAATGTACAACAGAATTAAAACTTAATCATGTTACATAGTTAAAAACTGCAATCTCCACGAGTAGATAATATTAAATGCAATTGCAAAATGCGTGCAGTACAAAAAAGTTTCGAAAATAATGTGATATTGTCAATTCACCATAATTAAGATCATGATAATAATAATATTTAGCAGTGATGTTTTTCTTCGATTCTTCAAAATGAAAAGCGATCGTACAATCTCGATAAACCAAGTGATTCTTTTAAAAGCATAAAACCCAATAGCGATAAACACAATATTCTAAAAATATACATTGATTGCTGTAACCAAATTTTCATAAGAATAGAATGAAAGTCAAAATAAATTCTAAAAACTAATCAAGAAAGTGCAATTGCACCAGAAATCTTGTAGACTTTATTTTTAATGCTCTTCCAGAAGACTATAACTCTGATTATTTGTTTGAGCAAAAAGTTTTTATAATTCTGAATCCGGGACGTAACAAAAAAAATTATTGAAGAAAACATAATGAATTCAAATAGTAACAAACGGCTCGATAGTATCAATAAAAAACTTTGAGCCATTGCATAAATTGGAAGAGGATTATAATCAATTTAAAAGGCAATGGAATATTCCAAATACTTAGAAAAACCGTAATCATAATACTTTTTGGCTGTAATAAATATTACGTATTAATTTATTGCTTTTTCGATAACTCGATATATTTATCACGTGACGTTTGAAACTTTTTTGGGTAGCGCTCTAACCCCGGTCGTCAAAATTTTAGTGTTAGTGCGGGCCAGAATTATGTTGATGCCGGCCAGGGTTTTTTTGATATAAAAGCCCGGCCGGCATTAACATAATTCTGGCTCGCACTAAACCTAAATTCTAGGAGTGTCATTTTGACCCTTCCCTAAAAACAATTGTAAATTTGTGATAATGGTTAGTAACCATAAATGTTTGTAATGCTATTAATTTAATTAGTTGGCGTTTTAAATATCCTTTATCTTAGCGTGACTTAAATTCCAAAGCAATATACTCGATAAAACTATCTAGATTTCACTTAATTTTAAATTGAATTCTTTAACAATTCGAATATGATTTGGCATTCTATTACAACCTATGTGGGTTCTTTTTTTAAATTAAAGACTAATATAAAAATATTATTTTATACTACTTTTTCATTTTTGCTAAAACGTACTTATGATATTTCATACACGTTATTTCAAAACCCAATTAATTGGCGCGTGATGCTTTAAATAAAAATATTTTGCACCCAAAAACCTTTTCCAAATCTTAATTTAACCCTAAATGTTGACCATAACGTGAAAATTTTTGAGTTAAAAGTTTATATATAAAACATATAGATCTAGAAAAATACAGCCATAGGTGCGGTAAGAGTAAATGATTTTTTTAGTATATAACTCATTATAGATTAGTATTTTGATATAATAAATTGAATTCCATGGGTATTCAAAATTGTGTATATTAATAATATAATTTATTTATAACGATAATATTGCTGTAATATTTCTTTTTCACTATTTCCACGTGCATCGTATCAAAAAAATTACCGCCACTTAAAATTTTAACAACTGGACTGGTTATGAGAGTTTTTTCACATGGTAACGTTATCTCTTTAATACTAAAAGGAGTATTAATTTTTGCGAAATGTTACATTTTCGAAAAGTAAAAGCACTATCCATTACACCGTCTTAAGGCATATAGCTTAAGGAAATATAGTTTAATACGTAGTTCGATCACAGATCAACTGACAATTAATTTGCCTGTAAGACCATGTAAAAAGTATAATTATAAATGCAACTGTAAAATCATTAACCAATCAAGAAGTGTTCAAACGTAGAACTGTATTGGCAAATAAACTTTGCCTAATAAGATTTTGTTTAATTGTTATTAATTTAAATATATATTAATTAATTAATTAATGCTAGGTTTGTTTTTTTGCGTAACTCGTCTCGCAAATTTGTTTATAAGAGATTTCAATGCTGTACATCTTTTAATAAACGACCAAAGATTGCGTTGGTTGATCGAAAAAGCAAACATTAGAAGCATTAATTAGTTGGTATAATTCATAGTTCAATATAGTTCAATGTTTTTTTAAAAAAAATACGCCTTAATTTTCAAAAGCTAATTTGATCAAAATTATCAAATTTATTATTTTTTTTTTTTTCTCATCAAATAAAATAACCTGTCTTTAATAATCACCCAAAAAAACTTTCTTCAAGACGGAGAGAACAAAGAAGCTCTGGGATAGTTACAGAAGTAGGAAGTTTAGGTTGAAACAAAAATCCTCACTTACCGTCAACACATTCCCTCCTCGAAAAAAACTAAATGCAATGTCAACACCAGTCACTGTACTATACGAAAAAAACCAAGTTTCGTGTTCGGTTGATGTGTCTCAACCTATAAGTGATATTATAAAATCATTATGTATAGAACAATTTAATATTCAAAATTCTCCTACCTTGCTTGCTTTAAGACTTCAGGATACTGATGAGTTAATCACTGACGAGGTATTTATTTTTAAATATACATGTTAAAGGAAAAACGAAATAGTGAAAAATATAAATAACTTAAATAATGTGTGAAAGAAGATTATCAATATTTCCAATATACTAACTAATGATCTATTAATTATAATTAGAATATCAGACGAAAGATAACTGAAAATGAAAAATTGAAGCTTGTATCTTCACCGCTTATCGAAGCTGCTGATATATGTGAAAAATTGGGTTCAACTGATGATAAAACTTTAAAGCTTACTACATTTTCTCTTCAAAAATATATCAAGGTATAATTATTTTAAAAATTATGTGTTCAGATAATTTACATATCCTTATGTGTGGATAACTACTATTATTACATAATTTAACAGGAAGTAGAATTCGCTGATGAATTTTTAAAAAAAGGCGGATTAAAATCTTTAATTGAAATAATAAATAATTCCAGTGGTAATACTTTAGCATATGCGTTAACATCAATGCAAAACCTTATGGAACATGATCATGGTTGGGATGATTTAGGTTCAGATTTCATAAATAAGGTTTGTTTAACTTTATAATATATTACATTATAATTCTTTATTATATTTTAATCGCATATTCATTTATATATTTAATTACATTATTAATATTTATATAACTTGTTTTTATAGGTGATAAAAATATTGGTAGATCAAACTTTGGTAAACATATGTCGACCCGCAACTGCCATAATCATAAAACTAGTTACTGCTGATAAAAATTCTACTACTTCTCCAATACGGTCTTATGGTTTTGATGTATTACATGAAGCGATATTACTTCAACCTAATTTCCTACCTACTTTAGTGCAACGCTTTGCTTCGGCCGATTATGTGTTACGTTCAAATAGTTTATGTTTAATTAATGCTCTTATGAGACATGTTACTGATCAATATTGGGAATCATTTATGGACATGTTGGACAAGCTGAATGTTAGAAAAGCTGTTGCTGTATGTTTATCAATTTTAATTAGATTGATTTCTTGTTTGAATATGATAATTAAGATGTAATAATCTATGTTATAATTATTCATGCTCATGGTGTAATATTTTATATATTCAATTTTTTTTAGCTTTTGATGAATGGTGTTCATGGAGAAGAATTATCAAAACATTTATTAGAATTCCAATCATTGTTTGTTCGCCAAGCATACAGATGGAAAAGAACACAAGTGTCATTACATATTCCATCCCATAAATTTATGTTGGAAGAAATTTGGAAATCCGCAAATTTATCTGAGGAAGGTGGAAAATGGAGAAAAATCGGTTTTGCGGTAATAATTTGATTTGAAATTTGTGTGTTTATATAATTATGTTGTCTTAAATATTTGTTAATATTATTTCAAATATTATGTTAATATTATATTAATACATTTGTGTATTATATATAAGACGGAAGCGCCGAAATGGGAAATTCAACGTGTTGGATATTTGGGACTTGATAATATGCATAGTTTTATGAAGAAAAATCCAGAAGAATATCAAAAAGTAAGATTATTGACATTCATTAGCTAAAAACTTTTGTACATACCGTTTACCACTAGGTAGCTTTGGCTGTAGACATTAAAAAATCCATGACGGGATGGGTTTCATTTATATAATATAAAGAAGTAGCTACTCTTTATTGAGAAATAGTTACATCTCTATTATAATGCTCAAGATCATATTCAAGGTCATATTCAAGATCCTATACTTTTGAATTGATTAATGCTTTGTATGGGATGGATACCATATTGAAGTGCAAATTAATCAAGAATTAAGCCTGCATGAATAGTATGAAGAGTACTTGAGTCTTAGTCAATAAAACATATTTCAATGGGATAGTGGTAAACGGTAATTGTTAATATTTTAGAAAGGAGCCTACTAAAATATTTTAGCTAAATGTCAGCTCCTTAAAGATTTTTCTATAGTGGTAATTGTGTCAATTGATTAGTATATTAATATATTGATATACGCATAGACGATATTAGAACAAATAAATCGACCTACCGAACGTCGATGTCCGTTTGCGAAAACATCTATCGAAGTTACAGAATTGCTGTGTGATTATTGGGACATTAGCACAGGATGTAAGGAGTATGTTCGTATAATACTGTATTATATTTTAATTACATTTAAATTTTAACCACTTTGAACAATTTGAACAATTTGAACAATTTGAACAATTTGAACAATTTGAATGTTTTTGAATATATTTGAAGATACAACATCGACATCATTTCAACCTTTATTATTATCGTTTAACAAAATCCACTATATAACCATAAAGGCATTTTTTCGATTATGGAATGATATGGAAGCGACTGTTGATGATTTTCCCAAAGTATCTGCATTGGTACGAAGTCAATTAAAATTTGCTCTACGTGACGAAGCGACCAAACAACTTTATGAATTTGAAAATGACATGTTGAAAGTTGAATATAAAATTATTAGAGATAGACAATTAAAAGAATTAGAACTTGGTGATGATCTATTAAGTAAAACACCTGTCAGGTTAGTAATAAATAATCCATTAAACTTTTGTATATTCATTCAAAATATTGATCCTATTTTTGGAATAGAAATCTACGAGGACAATTGTATACGGAATCTTATGAATTCGTTAAACAACAACGTATTAAATGTCTGTTATTTGGTGATTGGTTTCCGATGATAACACAAGCAAATCTTCCAACAAATCAACAAAATTTAAGTAGAAGATCTATATACAATAAAAAGTGGAGATTTTATAGGCTCAGTCCAAATTTAAAATTTCTTCATTATAGTGATTTTACTGAGAAAACTTTTATAAGAGATGGTGTTGAAGAGTTACCTGAAAGAAGTAAGTTCTTAATTTATTTATTTATTTTATAAATTTAAATGCTATTCAAATTTAATTTACTTTTGGAATTTATTTATTTTAATATTACAAATAAAGTTGATTTATCTCTAGTGACTGATGTGATGACGGGTTTAACACCGCAATTATCAACAACTACAGGTTCACCGACAAGAAAATCTATAGGTTCATCACAGGATCTAATGTTCTCTTTAATGTCTGGACCTGATACTGTACTAGCAGATTTTATGGCATCAGATTATGTGCAATTTTCAGAATGGACAGATGGATTGAATATGTTATTTGATAAAAATATTGGAAGCAGAGATACGGCAGAATTCATACAAATACTGACAGAAATTGGAGTAAAGGTTAAATTATTGGATTTAAGCGGGGAGAGGGTGGAGATACCACAGAGTGTTGAAGTCCCTAGGGAGTTACCTGTTGTTGAAAATGGATTTTATTATGATGATCCTTTTTCTTAGAGTGTGGCATAATTTATTAGTATAGCAACAAATTAATTTATATATATATATAGATAATTTTGATTTTCGGAATTTGGGGGTTAATTTTACATTTCTTATTTATTAGTAATTATATATTAGTTATAATTATTATTGTATACATGTATGATAGTTTAAATAATATTTTATCAATCTCTTTAACATGCTTGGACATGAGACAATTGAGTTTCTTTTCTTTA